ACAAAATGATTGGCACAGTTTAGCTTTAGTAACACAGCACAGAGCCTTGTTCTGGTGGCAGCTGCTGCCAAAGCAACATTTTTTAAAAAAAATCTGCAGAGCCAATCAAATCTCCATTAGCCAACCAGAAGCCTTGCTGGGCAAAAGCCCTACCTGGCCCCACCCACTTCCTAAAAACACTCGGCAGGTTCTAGAAAAGGTGTTGGGGGGCACCATGACACTCATGGGCACCATACTGGGGGGACCCCCCCTGTAGACTGCAACACCTATCAGCTCCAGACATGGAGGATTAAAGATTCCCAATGTAAAATCTCTTACCTGATTTAAATCAATTTGTCCACCTTCCTCTATTTTCCACCAGTGCCCGAAGAAATTTCTGTTTTGGTGTTCCCTTATTCTTATTCATCCCCCTCCCTGTTTTTGTGTGAATATAAGGAAATAAACACATACAAATAAAATAAATGTGGGATTTATTGCAATTTCACAGGGCCTGCAAAACGGAGCTATTCCGCCATTCCTTTGGTTGAGTCAGCAGACGTCAAATAGCATCAGCCTCCCCTGCTCAAGCGATCCTGGCTCTAGTGTTAGCCAAATTACCTTTATTTCTTAATAAGTGTGAGGAATATGAATTTTAAATGGCAATAGGCATTAATTATGGGACTAATAACCTGTGTATACGGGAGTCTGATTTGTCCAGAGACCAGAAATAGATGCTGAGGCTAGATCTTCAAAGCAGTGATTTCTTTACTGAAGGATTCTCACAATATAAGAATCATGCATACACACAAATAATACAGATCTAGGAATTCTGATAGAAAGGTACAGAGACTGTTGCATTAGCACGAGGTATCGTTGATAGGGCGATATGTTACCTGTCTGACACAGCGAGTTGACTGCAACAAAAAAGGGATAAAAATATAGGAAGGGGATTGTGAGTTGGCCAGCAACACACATGGAAGGTTCCAAACAGTGCTAAGAATGGAACCAGCAAGATAGGGTAGGGTTAGGAAGGTAAGAAGTGAGAGAGAGCGCAATGGGATGGTGCTCTCCTTTTATATCCTAAAAGTAACCTTAGGCTGATGCCTTGTTGGTCATGTAGTCCCCAGGAAGTAGTAGAAAAATCCAACTGATAATGGGTCAGGAAAAGGGATTAATCATTGGGCAATTGAAATAATGGTTTGACTAAATAGTGACACCTCTCAGGGGGAAGGGTTGAGACAAACGAGAGACGAAGAAGAGGAGGAGGAGGAGATTGGATTTATACCCCGCCTTTCACTTGGAGTCTCAGGGTGGCTTACAAACTTCTTTCCCTTCTCCTCCCCACACTGTGAGGTAGGTGGGGCTGAGAGAGCTCTTTCAAGAACTGTTCTTTCAAGAACAGCTCTGACAGAACTATGGCTTGCCCAAGGTCATCCAGCCAGGTGCAAGTGGAGGAGTGGGGAATCAAACCCGATTCTCCCGGATTAGAGTCCACGCACTTAACCACTACACCAAAAGCATCATTCTTGCAGCTTGGCTGGTAGTTGGTCTTAACAACCAGATGTTTAACAGTTGTGTTATCTTGATGGGTGGCTGGAGGACATGACGGCTTGTCAATCCCTTCATACTTTTCTTTTAGATGCATAGGAGTACGTGCTTCGCCTGATGATGCTAATGCGTGAAGGTTGGGGGGGGGGAATGCCTGCATGGTGTAGAAGGCAGTTCTTCGTGTCGTCTGTACCTGAGTCTCCTGGCTTCTTCACAGAACATGGCTTTCCGTGGTGATCTGCTGCTGTCTCTGTGTGTGCTTTAGGGGTCAGGGCTGCTGGTCTGCCTGCTGGTGTTGGCACAGAGATGCAGGGGCGAGAGGCATCTTGTAGTCCATGGGTCTACATCTAGTTTTAAGTGCAAGGTTCCCCTTGGCTAGCAGTCCAATATAAGGGCATTGCTCCATGGCTACAGTCCTGTCCGTTGCCCTGACACATCTGTTCCACAATTCAGCTTTGGGGGTCATATTTTGAAAGCTCTGCTTATAAAGTGGCTGCTTGGCAACACTAGTTACACCTTGGGTACCTAGAGTGAGTGATCTGTTTATGTGGCATGCTCCCCGCCCTCCCTGGCATGAGTCCAGCAGGCATGGAAAGAAGAAGAAACAATTCGCTTTGCTGTTAGTAGATATTGAATTTAGGCTGCGGTCACACGGAGCATTAGCCACGCTACAGAGACGGAAGATAGGCGGATTTTCCGGGTGTGATCACAGTGCCACATCTGGGAAGCGTAGAGCTCCCGTGGCGAACCAACAGAGCTATCCCGCCAGGCCATTGTTTGAAGAAGCAGACACCATATTAGATCACACACACCCTGCCCTACCCACCTATTCTATCCACCTGTGCCACTCACAGGTACTTTTATGTACTGAGCAGAGGGAATTTTGGCCACTTGCTAAAAATCCGTATATATGAGCACACAAACAAGGGGTCAAGCTTCCTGAGAGCACGTTAACTATATTATTGCCCTCTCATGATATATGGATGGATTTGAATGTTAATCTTTGACGGGGAGGGCGGGGTATAAATTGAACACATAAATAAATAATAAAATAAATAAATCTTTTAAATTGCTATATTTATCTGCAGTGAGCCGCCCGGAGCCCGCTTGCAGGGTAGGGCGGGATACAAGTCTTAATAAATGAATAGAATTGTTTTATGTATTTGTATTTGAAATGCTTTTTGATGGTCAAATATTCACCACCTGAATGCCCTGAATTGGGTGGAAAGACTGCACAGAAACGCTTTATAAATAATTAACACATTCTTCGTATGCCATGTATTTCTTTTCACTAACCATGCACCAGTTTGGTGTAGTGGTTAGGAGCATGGACTTTAAACTGGGAGAACCGGGTCTGATTCCCCACGCCTCCATATGCAGCTGCTGGTGTGACCTTGGGTCAGTCACAAGTTTCTTTCTGAGCTGTTCTCTCATGAGCAGCTCTTGAAAGAGCCCTCTCAGCCCCACCTACCTCACAGGGTGTCTGTTGTGAGGAGGGGAAGTGAAGGAGATTGTAAACCACTTTGAGTGAAGGGTGGGGTATAAATCCAATCTCCTCTTCTTCTCTTCTTACAGGAAATATGCGTTTCCCCTCTCATGGTGGACCCACCTCTCTCTCTTTTATAATGACTGCCATGAAGAATAGTTCTTTGGCTCAAAGTCTGTGATACCCACTTTTTTAGTTAGGAAGTGCTGGATCCCGTCCAGGAAAGACAAATAAAATTTCCAAAGCTGTTGAATTGACTATTGTATGATTGCAGGAGACAGAAAAAGCCAAATCTAAAAAAATAATAATTACAGCTTCCAAGCCCATTTTTACTTCATTTAAATAAGCGTGCACAAATCAAACCTAAAAGTAACATTTTCCATTCCTGATGGACTTTCTGCTTTCTCAGGAGCTAGCTTGCAGGCTTCTTCAAATCAGTTCTTTCTAGTATAATCACCCCTGAGTTATCAACACAGCATGTTCCTTTTTCACCTATGCAACCTAAAAGATACTTCAGCAGACTTAACATGGTTGAAGTCAGGCTAAAATAGATTTTCTTTCGCAGTCCAATGTACTTGGCTTCAGTCCTTTCCCCTCTAATAGCACCTAGATCTTCTTCCCCCATCTCCTAGCTACAAGCAAGTCATTTCCATTGCCAACAAACTGGACTTTAAAGCTTCGGCATATTTTAGCAACCAGTCTCAGTGGAACAACTGAAATCCAGGTGTGTGTCATGGTTTGAAAATTAACTGGCTTTGAGTTCACAAAATCCAGCGTTTTAGATCAAATCTCAGTTTCTCAATGAGCAGTAAAGACTTTGACCCACTTTGAGTCCTATCTATGTCCTGGCCATAACATCACAAAGAAACTGAAGTCTGAAATTTATGCTGTGTTAATTTCCTATTACATACAGCACTTTGAAGTCTCTGTGTAAAAAACATGCCAATATTTCAGGTTTCCAGTGGGCTCTTCCCATTCTTGCTGTCATCTGCAACCAGACATTGAAACAGTTAGCAGGTGGCTTCTCACCCCTGTAAAAAGCCAATATTATCCGGAAGTAACCTGTTGAATGTGAGAGCTACGAATAGCCATCTCTGAATTTATGCACTTATTGTTGGAAACATTGAATTGAAGAAAAAATACTACAAACTGACATTTGACAAAGATGAAGGTCGAAACGGACAGTCAAACTCGAGAAAGTTCGTCCTCTTATCTTGTTGGGACTTCGGTCTTGTGATGAAGTTCATCTATTGAAACAAATTAACATTAAAAATTCATATTGTATTATCAAGGATATGAACTTGTACAGCAATATGTTGTCATCTGCAACCAGACATTGAAACAGTTAGCAGGTGGCTTCTTACCCCTGTAAAAAGCCAATATACCTACGGTATGTCATGTTCTCTCTGCTGGCACAGATGTAAGGTAAAGGATTCGTGTTTCATGTAATGTATTGGAATCCTCACATGAATCACCTCATTAGACTCCCATGTTAAGCTTCGAGCCAAGCTAGGGCTCCTCTGATCGAACTTCCTATTGGTCGCTTTGTAACAGTGACCAATCAGAGCAGTACTATTCCCTGGGAGGGAAAGACTCCCATTGGTCCTTAACTAAGCAATCTCATTGGTTGTTATTTGTAAATAGGCGTGGCTACATTAGCCCGGTTATGTTTAAAAGGAGCATAGCTCCCACAGTTTCTCGTTCTGGTTTCTAATGCGTTTGAGTGCTTGTTCGTTACTTCAATAAAGCTGAATCACTTGCTGAATCACTCTACGAGTCCTTTGTTAGCGCGATCTAACATTTCACATGTGCAGGCTTGTGCAGATGAGTTCAAGTTATTACAATCAGACCACTGATTACCCTGGAACCCAGACAAGTTGGGAGGAGAAAAGAAACTCTGGCAGGGAGAATAGGCCACACCTCCAAGCTCTATTTACACTTCGAAGTCCTCATTCAGACTTGATTTTATTTCCTGGATGTCGTAGGGATGAGACCTACCTGCTGGTCTGTGTAACACTTCCCTAGATCAGGCATCCACTCTTCACCTCTGCCACGATGCCAATCCTACCCCGGTGGGTACTTCTGGGCCTCTGTATGGCTGTACCAGTTCGGCAAGCAGCAGAAGGCCACTTCCCACCCCCCTGTGACAGGTGAGTGAATGACACTGATAACTGCTGAGGTGAAGAGAGGCTAGCCCTGTTCTGTACCAGGTGGATCAGAGATAACAGCTGAGACTCACCAAATGAAGGCTGCAGGTGGTCGTGCAGAAGGAATGACAGATCCCAGAATAAAAGGACGGACCCAGGGAGTAGCAGAAGTGTTCTGTGACTGGAATGACGGGTCCTACAGTAGAATGACAGTCCCTGGCGGCAGCAGAAGTGCTTGGGCTGGGAATGACAAGTTCCAGAGTGGAACGACGTCCCCTGAGAGTAGCAGAGGTGTTCTGGGACTGGAATGACAGCAGCTGTGATTGAAATCTGTCCTCTGCACCGGTAATCACAAATCTTAGAGTGGAATGAAATACCTCACACTGATGTCAATCGTGGGGCCATCATTCCACTCTGGGGGCTGTTATTCAGTCCCAGAACATTTCTGCTACTTTTCAGGGGCTGCCATTCCAGTGAAAGAACACTCATGCTACTCCCATTCTGGGGTGTCACTCCAGACCCAGAACACTTCTGCTACTCCGGGGGGCCGTCATTCTATTCTGGGACCTGGCATGTTCAGTCAGTGCTGGTAAAGACCAGGAATTCAGGTCCTTCTGCTTATACCTTTGGCTCACAAAAGCTCCTACCCTGCCACAAATTTAGTTAGTCTTTAAGGTGCTACTGGACTCTTCCTCTTTTTTTTTTTTTTTTTTTTGTTTTTTTTTTGGGGGGGAAAACGGGGTCACTGGGGGTATGTGTGGGGTATTTGTGAATTTCCTTCATTGTGCGGGGGGTTGAACTAGATAACCCTGGAGGTCCCTTCCAATTCTATGATTCTATGATTCTACTGCTACAGACAGATTAACAGGGATACCCATCGTGAGCAGTAAGTATAGCTAAGAGTGGATTAACGCAGTTGGTAAAACCTGTGAATAGCAGCAAATTAGCATACAGATAATAAATCCACACCACACTGACTCTGGGATTTGGCTAGTGATATTTGATACAACAATTGTGCTGTTACAAACCTGGCCATATGTTCATTTTGTGGAATGTTGGATGATATGCTCTGCTGTGTCTTCTGTCCTTGAGAACTGCATATACCGTTGGTGCTGAGTACCTCTTCCTTTGTGTGTTTGCTTTCCTCTAGTGAGATCTATTGCACTGGAGAGCTCCTGAGGCAGGTCCAGTTGGCCAAGCTCTTTGCGGATGACAAACACTTTGTGGATATGCCACTGCGGGAGAGCCCAGGTAACTGGCCAAGCCCCAGCCAGGCTGTTGCCCATCCTCTTCTGAATTCGGCACAGGGAAGGAGCTCCATTTTGAATCCTGCCTACCTGCCAGCAGAGTACAGCATCCCCAACTCCCTTGTTTAATCTGGAATGGACACCATTTATCCAGATCTTATCAAGAATCCGAACAACGTTGTGTCGAACATTTTGCAGGCCAGCATTTTCCTTGTTATTTTCCCACCCATCACCCTACTTAACTTGTAGCAATGTTTTTTTATTTTTTAGATTTTTATTTATTAGATTGATATCCCGCCCTCCTGCAATTAAACCCAATTGCAATGCCAGCCTGTCTGTACCAACCTCCAGGGGGTATCTGGAGATCTTCTTTCATTACAATTGGTTTCCGGATGACTTTGGAGGGTGGGCTCTGTGGCACCGTACCTTGCTGAGGTCCCTCCCCTCCCCAGGCTCCACCCACAGAACCACCAGATGTCTCCCAATCCAGAGCTGGCCAGCCTAGAAAGGAATCACAGGGCTACCATCCCTTCAAACATTCCTCCTGCCCAGGGCTATTTTGGGGCAGGAACGCACAGGAACGGAGTTCCGGCTGGCTCCCGAGTTGGCCACGCCCAGCAGGAACTCATTAGCATAACCAGCCACACCCAATATCAGAAACTCATTAGGATTGGCTACGTTAGGGGTATGTGGCCTAACATGCAAAGGAGTTCCTGCTTCAAAAAAGCCCTGGGTTTTGACAACAAACAAAGTAAACAGAATAAGCAGCAAAAGGTGGGTGTGGCTGGATAACCACACTTCTGGTAACATGGGGGTGTGGCCTAATGTGCTAACGTGCTGTGCTGTCGGTGTGGCCTAATATGCTAATGAGTTTCTGCTGTTGCGTGTGGCCTATTATGCTAATGAGTTCCTGCTGGGCTTTTTCTACAAAAAGAGCCCTGCGAGTCCTGCCAATTTTCACTCCACCTTCATCTAAATCGAATCCAGTTTTCCTTTTATGCTCTGCATATAGATTGAAGAGAGAGAGAGAGAGGAACGGGATTAACTTCAGAGTAAACATGTAAACATCTTGCCCATGAAGACAGCTATTGCTGCATCTTTATCTTATTTTATTTGTATCCCGCCCTCCCCCGCAAGCGGGCTCAGGGGGGGTCTGAACAGGCTCAGGGCGGTCACATGGAATAACTACTTTCATTCCTCTTCTGGCTGACTGCAGAAAAGGAACGCTTCACAGTGGGAAAGGATACAGAAGTCCACCCCTCCCCTTTTTTTCTTACTGTCGGTCAGTTAGTGCTCTGGTTGCCAGCTCTGGGTTGGGAAATACCTGGAGATTTTGGGGGTGGAGCCTGTACGGGGTGGGGTTTAAGGGAGGGGAGGGGCCTCAGCAGGGTATAAAGCCATAGAGCCCACCTCCCAAAGCATCCATTTTCTCCAGGGGAACTGATCTTGGTTGTCTGGAGACCAATTGTAATAGTGGGAGATCTCCAGGTGCTACCTGGAGGCTGGCAACCCTAGTTAGTGCTGTGAAGTAGCACTCCAAGCCTCTACCTGAAGATGCCCATGGGGAGGCACAAAGCTGTTCTCAGGAGCGTAACTGAAAAAAAGAACCTATTACATGCTTGACAGAGAGTAATCTGTTGGAAACGCCTTGTGCAAATCTCAGAAAACCAGTCGGTATCACCGCAGATGGTTTCTTCCTGTTTCTGTGTGAATGTGTTCAGCTGGGGCAATTGTTCCTGGATCTATGTGACTAACACAATACCGGAACTTCCTGCTTTGGGAACAGGTCTGAAAGCTTCATTAGATTATGCTCGGCTCCAAAATACCCAAATGTGCATTGTTTGGAAGCCCGAGGTTATATAACAGGTTGGAAGACATGGAGGGATGTGGTCAGCGTCTGGTTGATCAGGCAAGATGGGAAAGCAATTTCTGCCTTAACGCCCAAGGTTGTCAAGCAATCAAACCGGCCTCTGCAGGACGTAAGAAGAGCCCTGGTGGATCACACCAAAGGTCCATCGAGTCCAGCAGCAGTCTGTTTCCCACAGTGGCCAGCCAGATGCCCCAGGAAAGCCCCACAAGCAGGGCATGAATGCAAACAGCTCTCCTCTATTTGCCTCCCAATCTGTATTCAAAGGCTGACTGCCTCTAAATATGGAAGCTCCATTTAGACATCACGCCCTTGGTGGGGCCTTTTTTTGCCATCAAGTTGCAGCCAATTTATGGCAACCCCTCATGGAAAAGAATTATAAATATCGTATGGCACTGTGTGTAGAATAGGCAGGAGATCCTAGGATTGTCTGGCAGCCTCAAGTTCTAGCTCTTAGCGTGGCACTAGTGGCAAGCTAGACTTGTTTTTAGGGGCTGAGAGAAGAAGGAGGAGGAGGAGGAGGAGGAGGAGGAGGAGGAGGAGGAGATTGGATTTATATCCCGCCCTTCACTTGGGAGTCTCAAAGCGGCTTACAAACTCCTTTCCCTTCCCCTCCCAACAGACACCCTGTGAGGTGGGTGGGGCTGAGAGAACTCTTGACAGAAACTGCTCTTTCAGGAACAGCTGTGCCAGAGCTTGTGACTGACCCAAGGTCCCATCAGCAGCTGCGAGTGGAGGAGTGGGGAATCAAACCCGGTTCTCCCAGATTAGAGTCCACCCACTTAACCACTACACCAAACTGGCTGTGAAAGAACTGTGAAAGGGCTGTGAAAGAACTGTGAATGGCCCAAGGTCACCCAGCTGCGAGAGTGGGGAATTGGACCCAATTCTCCAGGTTAGAGTCTGCTGCTCTTAACCACTACACCAATCTGGCTTCACCCCTCATGAAGTTTTCAAGGTAAAAGACATACAGAGCTGATCAGCTATTGCTTGCCAAGCCTGGACATTCTTGCTGGACTCCCATCCAAGTGCTAACCAGGGAGGACCCTGCTTTGCTTGCGAGAATGGATGAGACTGGGCTAGCCTGGGCCATCCAGGTCAGGGTAACTGGGGGGGCTTAGCCTCCATGAATTTGTCGACTCTCCCTTTCAAATGGCATAGCTTGCTGATCATGTATGCCATGTGAAAAAATATGCCCTGTTTTGAATCTGGTAGGTGGTGGTCAGTGTTCCCCCTAAGCTGAGTTAGTGTGAGCTAGCTCACAGTTTTGTAGCCTCCAGCTCACACATTTTTTGTCCTAGCTCAGGAACGATGGCTCCAGAGCAAACTAACTTATGAAGTAGCCAAATTGCTCACTCACAACTTTAACGCCAGTAGCTCACAAAGTAGAATTTTTGCCCACAAGCAGGGGTCATTTCCTGCAGGAGCACACAGAAGCGGAGCTCCGGCAGCAAAGAGCCCAGGGGGCGGGCACATGCAACAAGCCCCACCCCCTGCTCCCAGCAGCCCTCAGTCAGAGCAAGAAGCAGCCAGGTAAGTTGCAGAGCCCCCCCCCCGGCCCCCCGGTCCAAAACAGTTCCGTGGCACCTTTAAGACCAAGTTTTATTCAGGTAGAAGCTCTCCCTTCTCTGCGAGGACAGGTCTGTGTGCCCCCCCCCAATAGGTAGCAATCCAAAACAGTCCAGTAGAGCCTGAGCGGTGGGTGTTGCCTTCTGACACACTTCCGGTGATGTCAGGGGGTGTGGCATATGCAAATGAGTTATGCTAATGAGCTCCTGCACCTCTTTTTCTACGAAACGACCCCTGCCCACAAGACTCCACAGCTTAGAGGGAGCAGTGGTGGTGTTGGTGTAAACCAGGCCTCTGATGGGTGAGCTAGCCACTAGCCATGCATGGGATTGTATGCTCTCCCCTCCAACACACACTTTTGTCATTTCGGTATTGGCAGAACTGCACCTATACAGAGTTCTGGCAACTCATTCTTTTTTCTCTCTCCCCCAGAGGTTGTTCTGGAGCACTTTCAGCAGCTGGTGAACACAACACCTGGCGGGGCCTTGTCCAAGCAGCAGCTGGCAGAGTTTGTGGCATCCCACTTCTCTCCCCCTGGACAGGAGCTTGAGCCCTGGGAGCCCCCAGACTGGACAAGCAGGTATAGTCTCAGTCCTCCTAACCAATGCTCCCTCTAAGCTGTGGAGTCTTGTGAGAAAAAAATCTTTTTTGTGACCTACTGGGATTAAAGTTGTGAGCAAGCGATTTGGCTGCTGCATAAATTAGTTTACTCTGGAGCCATCCTTCCTGAGCTAAGACAGAAATCTGTGAGCTGGAGGCTAAAAAACTGTGAGCTAGCTCACACTAGCTCAGCTTAGAGGGAACACTGGTCCTAACCAGCCTTTTCAACCTTGACCTCATCTACACTTCTCAAAACCAAGAGAGCTATAGGCCTATCTCTGAGCCAGCATGGTGTAGTGGTTAGATAATCAGACATGAGTTCAAATCTCTGCTCAGCCCTGAGTCTTGGAGGCCGCTCATTCTCTCTCAGGCTGGCCTAACTCACAGGGTTGTGAAGATGGAGGAGGGGAGAACAATGCACATCCCACCCTTGTGGGAAGGATGGGATACAAATGGTCACCCTGTCAGAGGACATAGTGATGGCCACAGGAATAGACGACTTTAAAAGGAGATTAGATAGATTCATGGAGGATAAGTCTATCCATGGCTACTAGCCATGGTGACTGAGGGGAACCTCCACACTGAGAGGCACTAAGCCTCTGAATCCCAGAGCCAGGAGGCAACATCAGGGGAAGGCCTCGGCCTCTGTGCCCTGTTGTTGGCCATCCAGAGGAACTGGTTGGCCAATATGTGAGACAAGATGCTGGACTAGATGGACCATTGGCTGGGCTCTTCCATATGCGTTTAAGCTTGGAATTCTTTCTTTGCCACTGATGCTCGGAGGTAGCCGTCAGCATCTCCCAGGTGGGGCCAGCTCTCCCACACAGCCCTTCAGATTCCAGAGGTGACTTTTAAAAACAATTCCTTGACATTGTGCTAAGCCTTGTGAAACACGATGGGCCACCATGAGACTTCAGCATTCTTTCATTTGGAATGACGTTGGAACTTTGTTGGTTTTAAGTGTGTTCCTGGGCTCAAACTTTGTCCTGCTGCTTCAGACCAACACGGCTACCCCACCTGGATCTTTCCTTTGGAGAAATGTGCCACAATGCTTTCCAATTGGCTGTTTGGAAACAGATGTTTTTGGGTTGGGCTTTTTTTGGGGGGGGATGAGATAGCCAAACTAGGATAAATTGCACATGGTGAGGATTCTCCCTGTTGTTTGCACTGCTGCTGCAAATGCAGGGGAATGCATGTGCCAGCAACGGAGCTGCCACATGTGAACGTTTCTCCACACATTCCTCCATCAGTCTCTTGCAGCTGCTGCCTCCCCTGAATTTTCCCCCCTGGTGAATCACTGAAGAGCTTTTGGAGCGCTTTTAAAAGAAAAAAATTGGTATTGAATGCAACTCAGAAGCATTTTATGAGTAAAACTTGGATTGGGGATTTAACCCCTTTCCGAGCCTCCTAGCCCTCCCCAAGGTGCATTTGTTATTTCTGGAATATGTAGAGGCAACCAGCATTTTGTCCCCCACTGGGGATAATGGTAACTTGGGGACGGGGCATTCCAGGCCAGAAAATGGCATGAGGGAAAAGGGTAAACATCTTTCCTCCTGGTCTTGTTGATCCCTCGGTCTCCTTGACTCTTCTTCTCTTCCTTTTCTAGCCCACAGATCCTGAACAGGATTTCGGATCCAAAACTGCAGTCGTGGGCCCTGGAACTGAATGCAAAGTGGAAGCAGCTGGGAAGGAAGGTAATCCTGAGGAAGAACCAGAACTGGAGGCTGGTTGCACCTACTGGAGAGGGTATAATGAGTCAGGGGATAGTGGGGAAGCAGCAGTCTTAATGCACAATTGCAGCTTCAGTCTGGGAACTACCACAGTGCTAGTAAAGCTTCTAAGAGCTACTGTCCCTTTAAATTTTGTCCCTTCCTTCTCTGCTGTTTCTGCTTCTCAGCTTAGTTAATCACTTGAATCAACCAATTCTTATGGAGGAAGGGTTGTTGTTGGGTTTGGGTTTGTGTTGTTTTTTTTTTGCCAATTATAGCTTTTCTCTTTGAAACCAAAGCAGTGACTCATTCTTTTATTTTTCATGAATGTAATTTCATAATTGCACAGTTATATATTATGTAAGTGCTGCCAAGTTATAACCGACTTACAGTGACCCCAGTAAGTGGCTTCCAAGACAAGGGAGAAGCTGAGGAGGTTTGCCATTGCCTTCCTCTGCAGAATCTTCCTTGGAGGTCTCCCACCCAAGTACCCACCCTGCCTAGCTTCTGAGATCAGATGAGATTGTAGTATACCATGCTGCCTTTCCTAATGATTGCAGTGACTCTAATTTGAAAAAAGAAAGAAAGAACATTAACAAGCCATGATTTTGGCTGCAAAGAGAAAAGGATTCCCAACCCAGAACTGATTAAGTACTGATTGGGCAATACTGCAGCGAACACTAGTGAACAGGAAGTAATTAATTAAGATGAGAAGCAGAAGTCCAGTGAAGCAGCAAGAGGGAAGGTGACAGATTTAAAGGGATAGTTGCATGGGAAAACAGTACCTTTGCATGACTGGGGCACTTCCAAGTAAACATGGTAGCTGGATGCATTGCCAGATTTGAATGGGGAAATATAATGTTAAGTGTCATATGGAAGCATGATTTTAATTCTGCTTGCTGCTGATAGTGGAAAAGGCATTATTTAGCAATGCTAAAGGGCCCTAGCATAGAAATAATTTCTGCATGGATGGGAACTCTACACCACCTTGAGTTCCAAAAAAGAAGGCAAGTTACACATGTAAATCTATATATCTAATAGCCAAGATGCCCCCGGAGTGCGGATCGCTAAATCAGCGCTCCGGGGGCACTTGGGGGGAAGGGGGAGGTTTGTACACACGTGGGCCAGTCCCCACGTGTGCACAAAAATGCCAAATGTGGGGAAAAAATTCGGGGGGATATTAAAATCCCCCCGAAAGTGCAAGAGCGTTCGGTGCGCATGCGCACGGGCTCTGCGAAGGCCACCGCCGCCGCTTGCGAGGGGAACGGCGAGCAGCGAGCGAGGGGGGGAAGCAGAGTGGCGAAGGCCGAGCGGCCGCTTGGCCCTCGGCTCGGAGCCGGGGGAGGGGGGGAGAGCAGCGAGGGGCAGCCCCAGACCAGCTCACCCCTCACCCCACGTACCTTCTTCGGTGGCGGATTTTGTGGGCCCCCTTCCCCTGATTCTCTGCTCCCCCTTCTCCCCCCCCCGTCCCTCGCTGCCGCTGGTTGTGGTTGCCGCCGCCGCCTCCTTCTCCGGCATCCCACAGGCACGGCAAGGAGGCTGGCCAGGGGGCGGGGAG